TTATGAAATGGATGATTATGATAGACTATACCATCGTTTGTAATTGCCTATGAAATAAATAAAATTATTCTTTGTTTAAGTTTTGGGATTAAATAAAGTGTTTCGGAGTCCGACAGACTTTAGAATTTAGTCCATTGCTCCTTTCTCTCTCTCTCGCGCGCGCGATGATAACTAATCCGAAAGCAAAAAGTATTTTCATTTGAATTTCGTTTTTCTTATAGATATGACACTTGAAAGTTTTGAGAATTAACTTATTTGATAGTGCAGGACTTTTTATTTTTAGAAAAAAGATTTATCCAAAACAATTTATCAAAAACTTAAATTTATTTTTTTGTTTTGATTTATTGCCAACCGTTCTCTAATGTTTGTATTCTTCGGTTGATAGTTAATTGAAAATTTATGTGAGATTTGAAAAACCTATTGACTTAATAATCAATTAGAAAGTTGAAAATAGACGAATCTTTGTTTTTCTATTTTTAGACATTGAGATTTTAAATTTAAAAGGCATAATTGTAAATTTACTTAAAAGGAAAAACAACAAAAACACAGAACAAAAATCGAATGAGAAGTCCATTTTTATTGGTAATAAATACCAAAGAAGATCAGTTATTACGTTTCATCTGTTAAAAATTAGTTAATTGGGCACAAATTCTTTTGCTAAAAATAAATGTGAATCATTCACATATCAAATAACCAGTCATACGTAGATGAAAATCAATTTACGATAACGCTATTGGTTTTACTCCTCTAGTGGTAATTTATTCTGAAAGGAAAGGATTCAAAATAATCAAACAGTCGATTATGTACTACTTAAAAAATCTTATCTTTGATATATATCACGATAAACACATTCAATAGATGAGTAATAAACAAAGTCATGAAGCGATGACTCACACCTCTGACATCAACTACTCAGTTGTGTTGAATATATGTATGTTAAATTAAGTAGTCTTATTCTGATATCCGTACATAAAAGGCATGAAAAAATTTCGAGAATCAATAAATTCCTATTACGTCCCCAAACTTTTTTTTTTAAAGAGGATGAATAATCGTTACCTTTTCTAGTGCTGATGCCGTTTCGTTACCATAACATACACTTTCGTATTATTACTCATCTATGAAAAACAAGCATAGTGCGTAGGTTTTTCGATTATTTGTTCAAATGGTTGTTATTTCAATTTATATTTATATTACATAGCTTATGACTCCGTTTATTCTGAAAGTTTCAACTATTAATAGCGAGAATTCATTGAGAAAATTAAAACTGTGTCTTGTGTACTTGCAAAAAAAAAATGAATTGTTTATCTTGTCTTTTCGATTTTTTTCACAATCATACAAAATTACACGAAACAACGTTGTAATTTTCTCAATAAATTTTCAGAATAAACGGAATCACAAGCTATATATAGGCAGTAAAAATATGCATAAAAAAAAACAATCGTCAAGAGAAATAGCATAAAAAGTTAGAGTTTATGCTTACTTTCCACAGGAGGATAGATCAATGTAAAATTTAACCTTGATATATTCTATGTGGAGAATATAAGATGTTAATATCTTGTAATAATTTTTACATAAGAAATATTATATATTGATCATACATTTGAATCCTTACAGATGATTGATAATCTCATGAAGATTTATTCATAGCTTAAATATGAATCATTAAGAATGTACTCATATTAATTCTATCTTTTTTGTTGGATAAAAATTCAAATTTTCTTTCGACTCACAAGAAAACTACCTTAAATGAAATCTATTCTTTGAGCTCGTATGAGACCGACAAGAAGATCTCAGTAAGATTAAAAAGTTCTAAAAAGGTTCGTCTCTATGGATCTTTCGAACCGAGTTATCGCCATTTTACTGAATTTTCGATCAAGTTTCATGTATTTACCAAAAACATCGAATAACGGAATTTTGACTGATAATTTCGCCTATATATAGATCTAACCAACTTTAAAATATCCAGAATATTTCAATCGGAAGGAATATTTCTTGTTGAGATATTAAATTTTCATGTAAACTCCATTTTTGTGACATATTTGTGACAAACGACTATTTATTTTTGAAATTCAATGTCTCAATAAAGGAACATTCTTTTCGACGGAAACTTTCAAGATATTCTAACAGTATAATCAAAACTACCATTACGCGATATCCCAGATCAAAATTTCATTATTTAATTTTTCAATGAATAAATAAAAATGATTCAAAAATTCAGAACAAACGGCGATAGCTCGATTCCAAAGATTCATCGAGATGAATTGTTTTAGATTTTTTCTAGCCTTATCAAGACCTCCTTATGAGCTGAATATGCGTTCAAACAGCAGGTTACAAGTTTCCTCGTTCGAAAATTATGTTCATCAAACTTCGAAATGTTTTCTCCTGAAGAATTCAATTAATACAACTCAAATAAGATTAACATTTTTTCATGATATTATATCAATCTCATATTTTTTGAATTATAAAACAAAACGAATATTCAATACTTTGTGACATTTAATACAATAAATAGCGACGAGATTCATGTAACATGAAAGACAAAAAAAATATTGATCTCGACATCGAAAATTTTCATTAATTAATGGTTTTTGACAAGCATTACATACAAAACAAGATTTATGATATAATTTTTTATCATATTGTATACATTTATCACCTAATAAAGAGTATTTAAATGCAAAGAAAAAAAAAAAGAATTTATTTCAATTAAAAACTCTCTACCAGGTTCTAATGATCGATTACATCGATAACATCGTTCAGCAAATTCATTAATAAAACAATGACGACAATATAATTTTTCATTTTGATAAGCAAATTTCTTATTTATTAAAGATAAATTACAAATAGAACAATTAAAACAAGTATTATGCCAAGTTTTATCTTTAAATGTACTTCCCTAAATTACGAAAATAGAAAAAAAAATCTATTTTAATATATAGATTTTTACTTGCATTTCAATACCAATTATTTGATTACATTGAAAACAACGATTAGAATATTTTTCTTCGAAACAAAATAAACAAATAGCAAAATTATCTTTAATTACATAACGATTATTTAATAAATTCTTTTCACAATACCAGCATACAAATGAATCTGAACTATGTTTAATCATAAAATTATATATTAAATATGCGCTAAAAATATTTGTCAATAGATTTCACTTTGTATTTGAAATATACAAAGTGCACTAAAAGTTATGTAAATTTTGACTTCATAAACAGTTGATCTAACACACAGGGTGGCCAAAAAGTCATTATACTAAGAAACAATTGAATATTTTTGCTATGACTCGAACGAATGTACTGATTTTTTTTGTTACTAATAATAAAGACATGTTCACATTCCATATCCATAAAGATAAGACTAGAGAGAACTTGTTTCAAACATCACTACTGATCTCAACAAAAAAAAGAATTTATTTTTTCATAGATACAAAAAAAATTCAATCTACGATGAAGAAGAGTTAAGTTATCAAAATAATATGCAAATAATCAAATGATCTTTTGATTACAGCATGTCGTTCATTCATAAATCTTTTTGCCTTGAATACTGTTAGTCATATTTATGTATCAGTTCTGTCCATATTTGTTTTGTGAAATCCTATGTTTTTTTTTCTTATGAATCTCAGCACATCTACAAACGCACGAGCTTCAAACAAAGGTTACACAGTAAATATAAGATAGAAAATGAAGAACAGACGAGAACAAGACTGAACAAGAAGAATATACAAAACAAACGTAGACAGAACTGATAGATGGATATGTGACTAACCGTATACAAGATAAAAAGATTTAGATTATGTGAACTATCAATATGAACTATAGCAAGGAGGAAAGATATATGAATGAACGACATATCTTGATAAATTGGCTCTTCTCGATTGTATATTAAAAACAGCCCGTTTGCTCGAACTGTAACAGAGATATTCAATTGTTTCTCGGTGAAGTGACTTTTCGACCATCATGCATATGTATATATTCTTCGAACAAGAAAGCACGAGAGCCTATTTTATTGATAAGATGAATTCTAAGATGATCTGACGTGATCATTTTCACAGTTAAAAAAGTCTCCGATGACATAAGAACAAACTGTTTTATGCAAATACACTAATGAGTTGATCATTTTAAATTAAGTCATGCAAATCATTGCAAAGTATTAATCGAATATCTGTATGATCTGAAGTTTATGATAACCATAGAACTTCATGTAAACATCAATAAAAAACGATGCCTTTATTTTTTCATAGATATTGGAAAAAGTCTAATTTTCATATGATAATCAAAACTAACTAATCTATTGGGTTATACTTGATCAGAAGTAGAGTTATAAACATTTATAAAGTGATCATAAGTTTTGAGACACTCTGTAGTTACGATGTTCTAATTTGTTCATATAGATCGTTGACATGATTTTGAAAATATAACATTTTGTTATCTGTAACCTCGTCGTGTAACTTCCACACCTTAGGTGATCATTATAAAAAAATCTTTTTTGTTCATTTAATTAGAATATCTAATAGTATACTTAAATGTAAAGATTTGATTATTGTTGAATTCAAAAAATGAATTGAAAATCCAATCAAATACAAAAAAAAACAAAAATGATTTCAAATAATTAAACTGATTTATATAAATGGTCTAGGACATTTTGTAGTTCAACCCATTCAATAATATAATATAATTAGTTTCATTTACAAATATTAATTAATTTTCAAGACAATAACCGGATCATACCATGTAATTTTTTTTTCCATAAATTATTCTAGCTGCTCCAATTAAAAATTCTCTAATTTTATTATTATAGAATCTTGTCATTATTTTTTTCCATTGTATTCATCACGTTTTTTTTCATGGAGTATTACTTATCAACCAGTATATTTTTCATTAACGATGCCTATTTAAAACATACAAGAAACTATTTTTTCAACCATTTGCGCATAAGTCATAAAAATTTTTTTTACAAAATATTCAAAGTTATAATTAAAAAAATCAAGAACTATGAGTGATATAGTCACAAATCTTATTCTATCAACTCGTTGGCTTAATATTATTATTGGTATACCCTTATTTATATTTGGTATTATTGGTAATATTTTAACAATATGGATATTTACTCGACCTAGATTTCGTCATACATCTTCTGTTCGTTATTTAATAGCTTGTTCAGTAGCTAATTTTATTCAACTTGCACAAACACTTTTACCACGTATACTTACTGAAGGATTTAAAATTCCACTTATTAAATCAAATAGTGATTATTGTAAAGCTCGTGGTTATATAGCAGGTGTAGCAACATTATGTTCTTTATCTTTTCCATGTTGGGCATCATTTGATCATTTTATTAGTACATCACGAAATGCCACCACACGAAAATATTGGACATCAAAACAATTTGTTTATTGTGCAATATTCGCTACAATTTTATTCTGGCTTATTGTTCAACTGCCAATAGTTATCTTTACTCGAGCTAATGGAGAATCTTGTATTACAACTAATATTATCCATACTTATATTCAATCATATGGTATTACTCCATTGGTATATAGTATATTACCAATGACAGCAGTAATTTGTTTTAATATTGGTATTGTAAAAAATTTACGACGATCAAGAGTTATTAGTTTTACTAATATGAATACTCGTTTAGCAAGACAAGTTCGACGAATGTTAATACCTCAATTAATTATTCTTGTTTTATCAGGAATCCCATTTAGTATTCACTCAATTTATTCGTTAGCAACAATATCAATGAAAAAATCTTTAATTCAAAATGCAATTGAAAGTGTTATTTTACATACTGTACGACTTTTATTTTATTTAAATTATGTTTGTTCATTTTATATTTATTATATAATGTCAAGTGAAATTCGACGAGGATTTAAAAATTTAATTCGCCCATCAAATACAGTATCACCAGAAGGAATAATAGCTTGACTTTCAAATATTATTCAAAAAATAACAAAAATAATTCTTTTTAGTTGTCGTATTTAGTTTTTTAAAATGTAACCAAAATATTAAATTAGACACAATAAAAATAAAAAACTTCTATATAAAATTTTTCTTTTAAGTAACATTTCAATGCATTAAAAGATATATTCTACTTGTTTGGTATAGAATTACGTTTTATGAAATTCACATATATTTTAATCAAAGTTTTGCCGGCTTCCATCATGGGTTCTAGCAATCGGAACAAAGACCAACGATGATTAAATACATTTTTCCATAGCAACCGACGATAACAGGCGTCAAGCTCAATTGTTCTAGAACATTCGAAAGTCTTTCTCGAAATTTAAATAGTTGAAATATGTTTTCGAAATAGCCTTCTCTATCATAGACAATTTTAGAATCAAAAGAAACAGTGTAGAATTAAGATACTAATATGTGCACTAATAATAGAGAGGTAGTACCTTTTTTTTTCGTATCGTAGTTAATGTCTCAGCATTTATTTGTAATTGTTTTGATTCATGAGAAATATTGATGAGTAGTGATCTATTAGTTTGCCACACTCATCATATGATCTACTTATAAATTTGGAAAATAGTCAACATCAGGATTTTGTCAGCTTATCGAGATATATAATAGTTCATTGAGATCAATTGTAGATATAATGAATATGTACAAGAGGTTTATTTGCCAGTTAAATCAATGGTTAAAATAAAAACAATTACTACATTGTAGCTCCCAAAGGAGTTGCAGTGACAAGTTTTTTTTCTCAATCTCTTGAAAAATATTTACGAAGAAAGATCCTCAATCGATCTTTCCATACATTTGAGTGATATCTTATTCTATGAAAAGGTCTAGGAGGATTTGGATTGATCTGAATTCTTTTGATAGATATAAATATTTTTACTGCCGTATTAAGAGAGAAGTCATATCAATTAAACTTGCGAGAGAACCGTATTCTAACAAAATGAAGACATATTCTCTTTATTGAAACTAGAGTTGTAACTCGCGAGAAGTTAAAGCGGTTCTCATACGAGGTTTTTTTTTATATGATTTCTCTTATTATGAAAACATTCATATCTATTGTAAGAGACCGCATCAGTCCAAATCCTTTTAGAATAAGACATTCATAAGCAAAGAATAGCATGCATCAGTTGAGGACTTTCCCACTTTAGTGAACTTCACATATTCTTATGTTAATTTTATTTAAAACTAATTATGAACACTATTGTATTAAATATTGTTATTTTCCTTGAAATCGATAAGATACTCTATCTATCAGAACTATCAACACTATAGTCAAATAAAAAGTCGAATATTATTTTGTGATAAAACCTTTTTATTGTTAAAATTGAATTATCACATGATGGATATAATATATGATAAACGATACTTTAGGATATTATTGAAAATGAAGATGGGAAGAATAGAATTAGTTCTGCAACATTTGGAACAGATTCTGTGTTTTACAGATAATTGAATCAAGTTTTTTCATAGTTAATCAAGCATAATTATAAAAATTGAATAATTTCTAACGAATAAAATATGTTAAAATAAGACACAATGCAATTTTCATATTTGTCAAATTTAAAATTGATTTCAAACTTTTCATATTAACCTTTTTACCAGTCGATTGGCCACTGGAATGATCATTTGTAGAATGATTGCAAAAAATAAACAAATCCTGAGATTTAAAAATGATAAAAATCTTTATAATACACAATTGAATTTTTCGAAACGAAATATTCTCTATCCACACTCAATAGGCATCTATTGGACTTTTCTTTATGATATAAATCGATGAAAAATCTCATTAGTGAGTTAAACATTTTGAAAGCTTTACAATAATTCAGCGAATTACACATACGAAGGTACACGATTGATTATGGAACCATTATTGGACAGTCAAGAACAAAATTAATATCTGTATTATAAATCTCAACTTATGAGAAGTAGAAATGATATTTATTATGAATTAAATGTTTTTAGAAGGCTATAAAATGGTTCAAAACAAAGTTGATGCTTAGTAGAACTCATATATTCTTTTGACACTAACGAGGGAACATTCCCAAGTGTCACATCGCTTTTGAGTCGAGCGTATGTGCATCATGTAGACCCTAATGATCTATGAATACTCTGTAGAAAATTCGTGCTGCTAGCTTATTACTGCCGAGATATTGCATTTTTACTGTATGCATAAGCAAAAAGCCGTGGTTCCCCTCAGGACCACTAGGAAAACTCAGTTTTGAATTTCAACTTGAAACTTTGTACAAGGACAGGTCTCAATAAGAATAGTTTATTGTGAAAGTTTCAGATCTTTTGATTGCTCCTAGTCTGAAATAAGAAAATCGGAATCTGCTGGTGTATATAAGCTATTTTACCATAGCTGTATCTTAGGATAGGAACAACGAAAAGATCTGAAACTTTCACAATAAACTATTCTCATTGAGACCTATCTCTATGCAAAGTTTCAAGTCGAAGTTCGAAACTTGGTTTTTCTAGTGTTTCTGAGGGGGACCACAGCTTTTTTTCTTAAACATACAATAAAAATGCAATATCTCAGTAGTAATAAGCTAGCAGCACGAACTTTTTTCAGAGTATTCATAGATCATTAGGGTCTACATGATGCACATACGCTCGACTCAAAAGCGATGTGACACTTGGGAATGTTCCCTCGTAAGTTCTACTGGTTCATTCCATCTTTTTTTTCTGTTATTACAACGACATGAGATTGATGTTACTTTCACTCACTCAATAATCTGGTCAAAGAAAAAAAAAACCAATCAAGGATTAATATGCCATTAAATAACCTTTGTCTGTTACGCGATCATGGACCAATTAAATGGTCGTATATGAAGATATGGACACTCAGTGGATTAGACAGGCTAATACTATTTATAAAGTTATTTTATCAGTGATTCTTCTGGAATCGGTGTGAGGGTAAAGAGTTAAACAAAATTCTACTAGGCATTTTTTTATTCAAATTTAACATAAACAAAAAATTTAAAACTCTAGTCGTTATCATAGATTAAATAAAATGGTTTTTTTTTCTAATCCGATTTATGAAATAGACATTTATTGAAATGTTAAAGAAATCTGAGGATAATATATAGGGATATCGTATTAACCTTAATATTAAAATTGACCTTGATACTTTGATATCATTTGCATAAGAATTAATTTGATGCTAACCTTTTTGTATTATTTTTAATTCTAATACATATATTACCGATGACTAGATCTCGGATGCTCTAACCTCAGACGCTTCTGAAACCAAATAATTTTGTTATATTTTATAAATGACACTTCCGGATATAAGACAACGTGCTCTGATGTAGTAATTGCACATCCGTGTATAAAAAAATGTTTATTCTGACCTTGCAAATCACACTTCAGGGTATAAAGAACACATTTGTTCTTCTAATATAAACTTCAAAGATGTATTCTTAGAGATATAATCGCAAATATCATTTGTATTAGAATTAAAAATAATGTTAATTTAATTCTAATAGTTTGATATTAATTAATTTCTAATACAAATAATAACTTAATAATGAAAAAATAACTAGAAATTTTTACTTAACTTCTTAACCATCATTTTTATGTGAATTAAAAACGAACGTCAAACAGTCGAATTTTATTTAACAATTAAAAAATTGAATATTCATCGATTTTTCTAATATATTCTATCACACATTGCATAATTTATCATAAGAAAAAGGACAATCTAATTTTTCATATGATGCAACTAGAAGTCTATATTTCAAAAAGTAACAATCAATTTTTTTTCTCTATTATTTTGATATAGATTCATCATTGTAATATCACTACGCATAGCGCGCAAATTTAATAATAGAATTTTAATATTTAATATTTATCTCATTCAAAAAACTGTCGCGCTATAAATATTAAAGAATGTTTGCCTTGAACAATCAAATGTAGAATGATTCAATAAATCGTTTAGTTTAACATAAGATTGGCAGAAAACTGAAAAACAATATAAACCCATTAATATTGAATTTTTTCATTGATTCTAACATACGTAGTCGAAAAAACGTTGCTGAAATTTTCCTACTTTAATTCTCTACTAACAAAAAGAAAATGTTGTATCACGTAGTTCATTACATAAGAAGATTTTTCTTCATTTAATGCAAATCGTTGACCCAAATACTTTTGGATATATACCTAAATATCATTAGATCGCTTATTCGTACAAAGTAGACTCGTGACTTTTTATAAAAAACATAATTAAAATTTAATTTAAAAGTACCTGCAGAATTTTGTTTTTTATCCTTGAATGATTAACTATTTATTCATAGAGTACAATTAGATATATTTGAAGGTCACTTTTACAAGGAAGTTTCTATATTTAAAATACATCCTAGGGTGTTAAAAAATGGCATTAAAATGATGAAATAAACAAAAAAATTGATGTATTTGAAATTTATCGATTAAAGTTAGACATTTTTCATTAATTTCATTGCATGACTTTAATTAAAAATGAAATTTATTACATTTGTTTAATTGAAATGTCGCTTTTCATCAATCAATTTGAAAACATCATTTTTTTCGTTTTTTTTTTTCATATATAAAATTCTTGAATGTCATGGAAATTTTTTGATTCCATAGGATATAATATTTTTATTGAATATTATTTATTTTAGAGACAATATCAAAGCAAAAAAAATTTATATATTTGAGTTCAGTAATTTATTTAAATCTTTTTGGCTTTTTAAAATCTGCTGCATGAAATGCAAGATTTTCCCAATAGATTCTTTTCGTACGTTGTTGTTCATCTGGATCATTTTGATCAGATGACATTAACAATGGTGAACTATCAATTCTTGAATCTAAAACTGTATTTTGATACTGTCGTATTGGTAAACGAACTAAAATATAAAACAAAAGAAAACTTTCAAAAAAAAAAAAAAAAAAAGAATCTTTCTTCTTGTAAATACATACGTAAATAAGCAGCAGCTACCGAATGTGGC